AGCATTGCGACGACCAAGAAACCCGCCAATACGACGCCTCTCCCCATCTTTTCTTCCAAATTGCGAGTCTCCCCCTCTTAAATCCAAAACGATTCAATACCCTCGAATCTTCTTTCACAATTGCAACTTCTGATGGGTGCGAAAGTGTGTAGGGTGGTTTGAAGCTAAGGCAGCTCTTTGGGGGTATTTGTAGCGATGGGAATCAAGATAAGAATGAATATCAAAACCTCCCGAGTGAAAAGGTGGCAAAAAACTGATGATTCGATGCGTATATCTTTTGGCAAACATACCTTTACTTGGTCTTCTTTTGGAATTATTCAGAGATTTTGACCATTCGGTTATATAAAAGCAATCTAGGACATCTTTTGGCGAAACATACCTTGGCTTGGTCTTCTTTTGGAATCATTCAGAGATTTTGGCCATTTGGTTACATAAAAGCAATCTAGGACATGCTGACAATTTGACGATGCCAGGTGCCATCTTTGAATCGGGTGTGACGAAGCTAAACGTACGCCAACTTTGTACCTTTGAGAGTAAATTGTCATCGTCAATCGGCCATTTTTGTTGTTGTCCAAAGTGGTAGCTGCTGGTGTCTGTCTCTTTCTTATCTGGATGAAGTTCCAAACATCTTTTTGGGGGCGTGGGCTAGTAATTGTCAAAGAACAAATTTGACCACGGTTCATTCGTGAAATGTCGTGGGGCAATTGGCGGACGCGGAGGGTAATGGACCATCATTGCCCACTAGTTTTATCTTTGGAGCCGGATGACTTTCAAATCCAGTGTATAGGGAATTCGGCGCAATGTATCGAGCAGTTTATATGCCCAAGAGGAAATTACAAAAAAAAATCCTAAGCCTATTGTAATTATGCCAATTTAGTCATTAATCTTTTTATTTTTGCTAATTGAGTCCTAAATATTTTGCATTTGTGCCAGTATAGGTTGGAGGTGAGGTCCACCTCGCCGGCGACCTCGCCAGCCATAATGAAAAGACAAAAAAAGGCAAAAAAAGAGAGAAAAAATAAAATACTAATAAAAAATTCATAATAAAAATTGTTCATGTTAGTGCCGGCGGCGCCAGAGATTACAATAGGTTTATGATTTTTTTGATAATTTTCCCCCAGAAATTGCCTAGCTAGCTCCGCATCATTGCCAATACTTATTAAACATCATTGAAATAACCAAGGCACGAATTCTCGTAATATTGAGCAAGTGACACTCCAAGCCTCTCTATATGAATCTCGGATCCAAACACATAGATACCAGAAAAAAGGAGGAATTTCATTGAAGTACTTGAGCAGTTTCTCCTTGGTGGCAATAATGACTGTGCCGAAAAAATCGTTACCTTCCGCCAGTTATTGCGAAAACAGGTAGATGAATGACAAAACTCGTTTGGTCGATTGTTATAAAGTTAACGCGAAAATGATCTTCCAATTCAATCAATGTAAAATCACCTAAGAAATAAACAAGAAATGATAAACGACACCAAAAGTTTACATAGTTCTGTCCGAGTGTCGGTACCTATTTCACCGAAAGAGCAATCGGAGAATCAAAATTACAGTCGCTCATATGCTCGAGTGTATTCCACACCTAAATTAAGTCTAAACTCAAAACGTTTATAAATAAGCAACTCAATTGGATGTAAAACACAAAAACACAAATAGCAGTCTGTTTGTTAGAAAGTATTCAGTGGTTGCTAATCACCATGTCATAAGCTGACGTGGCATACATATTTTGACGAAACCCAATCACAAATTAACACGTGGCAATGACGTGGACAAGTAAAAAATAAAAAAATCTGTCCTGATTTGTTTCTCTCTCTTCCTGTCCTCCTCGTTCACGGCGAGGAGGAACCACCGAATACGTCACTCCTGCATTTTTTTTATTTGTCCGCGTCATTGACACGTGTCAATTTGTGATTGGGTTTCGCAAAAAAAAAATGCATGCCATGTCAGCCTATGATCTGGTGGTTAGCAACCACCGAATACTTTCTCGTTTGTTAAGGACTCTTCGCGCGGCCAATAAGGTGACCTCGATGACGTCCTTTTATGCGGATTAGTGCAGTGCTCCACCGTACAACTGCACAATCTTTAAAGAATTCAAAATTCTTTTTTTTGCTAGAAAAAGTAATTCAAAATTCTCGATTGGTCAAAACGGTCAAACCGAGACGTATATCTTCTCCAACAAAAGAAACGAATCCTTTGTGCCCATAGATAAAAACAAATCAGCAACTTCTCTATTTCAAAATCATTTCTCACCGTCGATTTGGATTAAAGAAAGGTTAATACCACGAAAATTTCAAAACTGATATACATATGATAAATTTACTAAAAACTAATTTTTTGATCACAAAAAACTCCAAATCGATACATCTGTGACAAATTTACTTTCCGTTTGTTTCCCCATTAAATTATCGAGTTGGATGGCACGTAACAATTGATAGGTGTACCAATTTGGGGCTTTACCCCTCCATTTTTCATAAGTTTACCAATTTGTGATTTTTCATGGTATTAATCCAATTTTACGGAGGGTAAATTTATCATAAGTGTACCAGCTTTGGGGTTTTTGATGATCAAAAAATTAGTTTAGAATAAATTTGCCATAGTTGTACCAGTTTGGGGTTTTTTGTGATAAAAAAATTAGTTTAGGTTAAATTTATCATAACTGTATCAGTTTGGGATTTTTGGTGGTCAAAAAATTAATTTGTGATAAATTTATTACAGGTATACCAGTTTGGGATTTTTCGTGGTATTAACCCATTAAAGAAAGATTTCCTTGAACTCCTAATCATCTCTGCAATACCGATAGGTCTATGTCCTCCAAAGCGGGTTCAAACTCAAGACATAAATTTAACATCGATGGATGGTCACTCGTGATCGAGCTTTAAGAAGTCTCTAAATAGTTCAACAACACTCCAATCATCTTGCAATCGGTCGCTGAATACCGGCGGCCTCGGTGTAACAGAAGGAAAATGACGTCAACACATCTATCTGATCGGAGGCCTTCTATAACATCAAATAGCTGGAACTTCTCCTGGTTTTCACGTCTAAAGGAACCTTTTGGGGCTCCCTTCCTTGTTCCATGCACAGCATCTCCATCTGTCGTACTCTTGGGGTGACGGAGTCTCTGTAGTGAACCCATCGGCATGTACAAGTTACAGATTCAAAAAATTCTTTTAATGCCATCTTGCACGCAAAGATTGATAAGAGGGCAAACGCAGCGTACATGAAAGAATCGGCCATTGCAAACCGGCCTCATCTGTGTGACCATACTCCTAGCAACCGGTGTGCTGACAATGGCATCATGCAAAATAATAAAAATACATCGTTCGAAATGCCAAAGACATAGATTTTCGCATAAATATTATCTGATTGTATGGATACAGATGCTTTTTAACGACAGAGTACAATGATGTAACACCCAGTCTGGTCTATCCAGTGGCCCGTGACACAACAGTAGGCATAATTCATTTGGTTGATCCATGTATTGGAAGTCAACGAGACTCAAATTACTTGCTGATAGCAGCTGCAACAAATTCTGCTCTTTTCTCTTGGTACATACCCTTATAATGCCTGGTGTTTATGGTCCTTGGAACTCTTTTGTAATTTGGTCGAGACGCCCCTCGCACGAGGTCGACGAACCTCAGATCTTGGGCGAGCCTAAAGAGTACCTCGACCACTTTTGTACTTTGCAATGAGACATAGAACCCGGGCCTTGTCGTCGTTGAACGGAGTTCCGGTGTGGCTTTTTGCAGCGGCCTCATCCATCCAAGCAAGATGTTTGTCTCGCTGCCTCTTCAAGTGGCCTGTCCAGTCCCACCACCAGATTTCGTGGATAATTTCTCGCAGCACATACCATATGCAGACGGGCTTTTTCTCTCCATTGGGGAGGTCCATGATGTGGAACATCTTCCAAAAATTGGCCCGGCCACCTACGCCAGAGCCTGACCATTGGCCGGAGTGAGAAGGGGCTGTGCCTCCAAGTGGGCCCGGCCCGGCTTGGCCCCTTGCTGGGCTCGGGCCCAATTGGGCTGGGCCAAGCCATGCTTGGGCAAGGACGGCCTAGTGGCCATTGCCAGCTCAGGCCTTTGGCCTGCGCAAATAGCCCTAATTTAGAGTAATTTGCACGTAGTTGATAGGAGTCAAACGTGTAACCTCGAACGCCTAAGCTAAAAATCCTCTCATGTCCCAACCAGTTACCCCGAGTTGCATTTAAGTCCCTAAAAAATGCATGCCCAGGCGCTAAGGACTTATTTGTGGGGAAAAGTGTCAAAAAAGTCCTAAACCTTTTACAGTGGTGCCAATTTAGTCCTAAACCTTTTTTCGGTGCCAATTCAGTCCTAAACCTTTTGCATTTGTGCATATTGAGTCCTAAACCTTTTTTTGGTGCCAATTCAGTCCTAAATCTTTTATATTGGTGTCAATTCAGTCCTAAACCTTTTATATTGGTGCCAATTGAGTCCTAAACCTTTTTTTGGTGCCAATTAAGTCCTAAATCTTTTGCATTGGTGCCAATTCAGTCCTAAACCTTTTGTATTAGTACCAATTTATTCCTTCCGGTTAATTTAGCTCAAAAAGGTTTAGGACTGAATTGGCATCAATACAAAATGTTTAGGACTGAATTGACACAAATGCAAAAGGTTTAAGACTGAATTGGCACCAATGTAAAAGGTTTAGGACTAAATTGGCACTAAAAAAAGGTTTAGGACTAAATTGGCACAAATGCAAAAGGTTTAGGATTGAATTGGCACCAAAAAAAGGTTTAGGATTAAATTGGCACAAATGCAAAAGGTTTAGGATTTTTTTGACACTTTTGCCCTTATTTGTGCCGATGAAAGGCTGCAGAGTTCATCTCACTCCATGCAGCAACCATGGCGGGGAAAGAAAGAGAATGTTTAGAATCGGAAATTAAGATGTTTTTAACGACTCAGATGAACCCGAGTCGGCTCCCAACCAAATCTCAGACAAAAAAGGAACGAACTTTGCTTTGTTGACAAATGGACGTGCTTAAACTAAGGAGCTTCATTGATTAAGAAAGCTAACATCACTGTTTGCCTGTGAGCTAATCAATTACGAAGGCTCACTAAAACATACAGGACACTCTTTTTATTCCATACAAAGACAAGAATATGAACAATCAGAACAAGAAAATTACAATATGGTCCGCCTCTATGACCCAAATCTAGTTCATAAACGTCGAGACAATGCTTGATGATAAGAGAACTAGCACGGATAAGGCACCGACGGCGGTCGGGGAAGCCGAGCTATTCTGTGACTCAGTTGGTGTTGGGCTTACAACAGTAATGGCAAGCTTCTGCCCGTTCTGGCAGTGGGAATCGACGGTGCAAATGAAGTAATACAGGCCATTCGCATCTGCTGGAAGTGGGTAACTGAATGCATCGCCACCCTGAAAAACCGAGCTCACTTTTGTGCAGCTGTCGTATTCTTCTCTTGATACATTCGCGACGTTGTGTGTCCCATTCCACACAAACTCTGCACCATAAAGAAGGTTTCAAAATCACAAGCATGATGTGACACGATAAGAAAAGATGTAGAATCGATATGCATTCTCACGTTTTCACTCCTTGAATTTTATAAAGACAGTCGATTAATGTCCAGTTAATTTAAACGCCAATATGAGCTGACATGAAGCTGTTCATATGCATATCTAACGGATGAGAGTAAACATGTTACTGAGAGGGAAAATAAGTAGATGAATGCTTACTTAAAATGTCTCCGCCAGTAAAAGGTATGCCGGCGGCCCACTCGTCATAATACCCGACCGTGATGTTTGGCGGCGCAGTCCAACCTTGGCTACCGCCCACGACGTACTGCGTCGCTGCCGCACCTCCTAGGCAAGCTAGCATTGCAACAATTAGGCAACTGGCGAAAACGACACCTCTCCCCATCTTTTCTCCCAAGTGTGTTCACCAGGTCGTCCCTGACCAAATCACTGAGTCTCTTCTCTTGAATCCAAAACGCTTCGACACACTCAAATCTTCTTTCACAACTGCAACTTCTGATAACTGGGAAGTGGGAACTGCATAGGATGATCTGAAACCGATGCAGCTCCTTTGGCTATTTATAGAAATGCGAATCAAGATAAGAATGAGTGTCATAGGCATGAGTGAAAACGTGGCAAAGACTGATTCAATCCACACCCTTTTGCGAAATTTATCATTACACGGTCCTCTTTACGAACCATTCACACATTTTGACCATCTGATCTTATAAAAACAATCTAGGACGTGCTCAGATTTCATAAGGCCACGTGCCATATTTTTAACCGGATGTGATGAAGCTAAACGTACACGAATTTTCTAGCTTTGAGAGCAATGGTCATCGTCAATCGGCCATCGTTGTAATTGTCCAAAGGGGTCGCTGCCTCTCTCTCTCTCTCTGGTCTGGATAAAATTCCAACCATCTTTTTGGGACGTCGGCCACTTATTGCCAAAGAACAAATTACCCAAGTTTGCTTTGCGTGTCCCTAGCAAATTCATTCGAAATTTGTCGTGTGGGCATTGGCACGTGGCGCCCTTCAAGGCTTTTATTTAAAAACCATAGGAAATTTCAAATCATGTGAGATATCTAAGCATATGTATATAGTCATTGGTTTAGCAAGTATATGGTGACTCTCGGACACTACATCAGTTGGACTCTTCTCTACTGTTTAATAGAAACAGTTTCATTGATATTGTTAGAAATATATTTTGGAGATTCCGTATACTTTGCTTGATTGGTCCTAATTGATTGTAACTGATATTCTGCTATTTTAGATGGTCATCCGGTAAAATGTTTTAACTCATGCGTTAATTGTCATAGGCGCGCTCGGTTTGCGGGAAATGCTCACGATCATTTTTATTTTTAAGAGATGCCGGAGGGAGGATGAAGACGATGGAGGAATAAGAAATGATTTGAAGAAGAAGAAGAAGTCCATAAGAGAGAGAGAGAGAGAGAGAGAGAGTGATTTGAAGAAGAAGAAGAAGTCCATAAGAGAGAGAGAGAGAGAGAGAGAGAGAGAGAGAGAGAGAGAGAGAGAGAGAGAGAGAGAGAGAGAGAGAGAGAGAGAGAGAGAACATTAAGAAAGGAAAATAGATAAAAGTCGGCAAATTTCTAATGGCATTAACGCTACATAGGCTCTTATAAATAGTGAGATTCATGAGAAATAACTTTCATGTGATCTATCCTGCAATAGGTTAGACCCAGAAGGAGTCGAACTTGTGTGATTAAATAAAAATATCACCCTTTAATTGCCTTTGCGATTTAATTAACACTTTAAGGCTCCATTTATTTCGCGAAAAATAAAAGATTTGGAAAACATTTTTCTGAAAACGATCACTTGTATCGCTTCTAAAAATGAATGAATGAAATTTATTTTTATTATCTATGAAAATATTTAGATATAAATTATTATTGATAATGATTATATTTTTCATTAATTAATCATTTTAAGCAATACGGGTGATCAATTTTAGAATAATATATTTAAAATTTTATTTTTCGGATATTTTTTTTTCATTGAGGGTGGTACAAGGCAAAGTACATTTGTTTTGCTCTCTTTGGATGCAAGCAGACGACAGGAAGCACAACCAATGACCCAGTTAAATCACAAGGACTTCTTTTAGCAACCTTTCATGACATCGTTAGCAGATAACCATAATTACTCGCGAGAGTTTCGTGAGGGTTTGTTTTGGTTGAATGTGTGATTGGACCGTCCTTTGCTAATCGCAAGCACATCTGTCGATCTGTGATTGGGTAGTTCAACTGCTCAAATTTTGGCGCCGGGTCAAAGCGAGATGTTGAATCTTTGCTAGATCAGCTGGTCGACAACATTGACTTCAGAAGGTTTGACAAAACTGAGCTGAGTTCACATTTAGGTATCTAGCTAGTCTAGTACGTAGTTCACGGAAAAAAAAAGATTTTATTGTATAAAATCAATCACAATCAATAAGTAAGTGTCTCAATTCCAGAAAAGCAACTCACGAAAACGAGTCATAACAACCGTGTAAAGAAAGGTAGGAAATAGATCACTTAGTTAATCTAGTACAACAACACTACGGCAATCGATAGAATCCCTGAAAACAAGCCAGTGACGCTCAAAGAGGCGGCGGAATTCCCCGGCGGAGGAGGGGTGGTGGAGGTTGTTGGAGGTGTGGTGGTGGTAGTAGGTGGAGGAGGACTAGTAGAGGTGGAGGGCGGTGTGGCGGTGGACGACGGAGGGGTAGCGGGGGATGGCGACGATGGGGTGGGGGTGGAGGCTGGGGACGGTGACGATGGGGTGGTAGTGGGAGACGGTGATGGAGTTGTGGCGGAGCTGCCGGTAACGTTGATGGCGAGCTTCTGGCCGAGGGAGCAGCGGTTTGGGTAGGTGGATGTGTAGAAGTGCTCGCCGAGGGTGGTAAGGGTGATTCTGACTGGCGGGACCGTGGAGACAGAGATAGGGGAGGTGGTGTTGCAGGAGTCGAATGCTGATTTGGTAATCTCGGCGACGTTTTGTGTTCCGTTGACAAAGTTAAACACTGCATACACAAAATGAATGGCATTATAGTTAATAGCCAAATCAATGTCTATTTTAATATGTTCAATGGTATTTGTCTATGCTAAGTTATAGACTTTTAGGAAATCAAATCCAACTATATTTTTAGTTTGGAAACTTGAGAAAATAACTTTATTTCATACGATAGGTATAGATCTTTCTTTGGCACCATATATTTGATTGTATATTTCATGGGATCACTATCACCGATTTAAGAATGAGCGGTTAAATAAAAACTCGTGATTCAAAATGTAATGCTCTCTAATATAGATAAGAATAGGAATAGACTCACCTAAAATGTCACCAACCATGAAGGTCTTGTTGGCAGCCCAGAGCTCATAGGCCTGAGTGGTGTTGGCAAGCACATTCCATCCAACATTTTCACCCACAGTGTAAGTCACCGGTGACCTTGTCGGGGTGGTTGCTGGTGCTGGTGCAGAAGCAGCCGGTGGTGGTGGTGGTGTAGTTGTTGGGGCCGGGGCTGGAGCCGAGGCAGTGCTCACGTTAATCCCAAGCTTTTGGCCACGGCTGCAGTGTTGGCCGATTGTGCAGATGAAGAAGTGCTCGCCGGATTGGTTGAGGGCGATGCTCGCCGGCCCGTCAGTCTGGAGCGAGATGGGGCTCGTGGAGTCGCAGCTGTCGAATGCTGCCTTTGTCACCTTGGCCACATCGTGTTCTTGGGTCGTGAAATTGAAAACTGCATAGAACCGGACACATATGAGTGTTCGCTGCAACCGAGCGAAAATGTGCTCGAAATAACGCATTGCGCAGAACGTTTACGCCTTTAGGTGGAAGGATAAATCATTGTTCATAGTATCAGTCTCGACGATTTCATGATTATCGTCACTTTTCAATAGAGCTTGAAGACGATGAAGCAAAACTTAATGGAGCTGTAACTAGCATATACTAAAGTTATACTTCAAAAGTCCCTTGTAGGGCGGGAAGAAAACAAGAACAGAATGCAGATGTTAGTGAAGAACTCGTACCGAGAGTGTCGCCCACGACGAAGGTCTCGTTGGCGGCCCAAGTGGAGTAGGCTATCGCACCGCCGGGCGGGACGACCCACCCGAGCGAATCGCCGACCACATGCGTCGTCTGAGCGCTGCAACACCGGATCGAGGCTCCTAGGAACACCATCAACACAAGCATGTTCATTTTGCTCACCATTTTTTCCCTTCCTTCCTCCCTTGATCTCTTCTTTGTGTGTTCTAAAATTGGTCAGGTCGCCCCCTGCTCTGTCTCCTCTGTGATGTGCTTTCTGAGCTTCTTTGAACTCCACAAAAATGAGAGAGGGAGAGAAGTGAGAGGGTCATTTGGGCTTTGGGTTTCCATTTATAGGATCTTGGTCTTGCATTGCTTTGGCATGGGTGTGGAAAATTCTGCCGCCCCCCCATGTGCCGCTTCTACACGATTAAGAGCGGAGGGAAGAGGAGTTTGTCAAGGTCAGCACCACACAGCGCAACACTTGAATCATGCAACATGCTAACGTAATATGAATCCATTCGATCAAGCGTCGCTCGTTTCGTCATCTCTTTACGAATTATGACAAATGAGGATGCCGAATTATGGAGAAGCAAGCTTGGGTTGGAAACATCTATTGTAGATAATTTCATCCATTTTTTTGTGACGCCAAATCTAATTCAACGAAGCCGGCTAGAACTTGTTATGTCTTTATCAATCCCAATTATTTAACCCTAGGCAGGCATCCAATTTAACTAGTCAATTGACGGTTAGATATCAAATTGATCTTTCTCCGATCAATTTGAACTGAGTCGAACCGAGTTGAAACGTATGGCGACGGTCGTCGTTTGCCATTTGAACGAGTACGAATAGGTTGTTGAACAACGTTCTCGAACGAATGGAGACGATTGTGGACTGGCAGCATTCCAGAAAATCAGGCTGCCGCGTGACGACTTCACGAAACCCAAAGACTCGTGCTTTTTGCCAAGTCAATGCTTTTCCATATGAAAGTCCACGCAAGGCACTGATATTCATCTAAAAAAATAAATAAATTCCAATACGCAATGGGAAAGATTTGAATGCTTGTGAAAGGATTGACTGGAACCCCTTCGCTTGTTCATTCCGTTTGTATATTTCACATTGTCTCTTCACGGGCTCTTCACGCTCTTTACACATTAAGTGATTTCCTTCTAGAGATGTTAAAGATATTTTGTTGCGAAAACAAGCGATCAAACAATATAAGAGACAGAATAATAAATTAAATCGAACACCAAATTTACGTAATTCATTCATTGTGACTTACGTACACGGGGATAGCAATAATGAATTCCACTATAGATTGAGCGATATAACAGGGATTACAACTATACTCCAGTCAATCAAACACTCTTAGGGCCCATTTGGTAACGTGCCAAATAGTGAAAATTTCTGTTCTTTTGTTCCCAGAAATAGTTTGGGAACAGAAATGCGTTTGGTAAACTTTTTGTTCCCGGGCACATTTTTGCAAAAATTTGTGCCGAGAAACAGTTTTGGAAGAGAAACAAGAAGTAAAAAAAAGTTGCTTCTTATTTCTCGGCACAATTTTGAGAATCAGTTTTTTTTCTTCTTTTTCTTTTTTTTTCTTTTCTTATTTTGTGGTGTTGTTCTTCCCTGGCTGAGCCGACCGCCGGCGACCGGCCACAGCCCAGGGCCGGCGAGGGCGTCACGGCCCTCGCCGGCTGCCGGCGGAGGTGAGGGCGAGGGCGGACCCTCGCCGCCGGGCGAGGCGGCCTCGCCCAGATCGAGCGAGGCCGAGCCTCGCCGTCGGTCGCGACGGCGAGGTCGGCCTAGCCCGCAGACGGTGAGGCTCGGCCTCGCCAGATCCGGCGAGGCCGAGCCTCGTCGTCGCGACCCACGGCGAGGTCGGCCGCCGTGGGTCGCGACGGCGAGGCCGCCTCGCCGTCTTTGGGAGAGGCCGCCTCGCCCGGGCGGCGAGGGTCCAGCCCTCGCCTCGCGGCGAGGGCCGTGACGCCCTCGCCGGCCCTCGGGCAGTGGCCGGTCGCCGCGACCGGCCATGGCCAAAGAAGAAAATGGGTAAAAAAAAAAAAAAAAAATTAAACAATTTAAAATATTATTAAAATATTATTTGGGAACAGAAATTTTGTGTAGTTACCAAACGCATTTCTGTTCTTTTCTACTCTAGGAATAGAAATTTTGGACAGTTTATCAAACGCCTTCAAATACTCAGAAATTGTTTCCGGGCACAGAATAAAAAAAAATCATTTCTGTTCAGAAATAGCTCCCGGGCACAGAATGGTATTCATGCGCACCCTTAACGTTTTTCAGTCCTCCATTACACCCAATAATCTCATACAGTATTTAGTCTCACAATTTTTCACGAAATAATCTCTCAATCGCACGAAGAAATTCACAAATCTTACTCACAATATTTAATGAATTTCAACAGATAAGTTCTTGGTATAAATGCACCAACAAAAACCCATGAAGTTAACCCACCGCTAAATACTCTCCGTTCAACAACTTTGATAAAAGGAAATGGAGAATATATATGTTTATATGTGCCCAAAAGTTGATCCAAGTCAAAATCCCACATTGAACTTTCTTATTTCAATGGCCAAAGACTCCAACGCACAACCGTACTTCAACAGAGAAATATCATATAAAAAAACTTTTAGTTTCCCTTTTTGATTAACTTCGTCAACTCCAACCGTAAAATATCCAATTCGAAATATTCAGACCTCCACATATAACAAATTAATCTCGGATTAGGTTTCGCCTAACGGGCTCAAACTCGAAATATATTTTAACAAACTTCACCTTGACTAGACGTTTGGCTAGAACTGAATCTCGCTACTACTCTCCCAAAGCCCCACGTGAGCTCAATAGCCACAGACATCTTTCAAGTCAAAGCCTTCCTTGAATTTCGCCATAACCGTGGATCTCATCAGAATACCAACTCCATCTGCACCATTAAGTACTCCATAAGGATTCACAGACACAATCTTCTCAACCACGGATAAAGCAAAACAATTATTGCATTCATATCTGACAGAAGGTCGAACATGCACATTGTCAAACTCAGTAGTTACAACAACCGTTGGCTCTATAAGCTCTATCTCACTACAAGCACCATATGTGTTGATTTCATCATTTGTACCTGCTACCTCAGGAGTTTCTGGTTGCAACTCTACCTTGAGCAGAACATTGTCTAGATCCGTATGACCACTGACATTAACACTCCTACCCAGAAGTACCAGAGACTCGTTAAACGCACTTCTCTGTTGATAACAGATGAATTTAATTCCAGACATTACAACCGATAGTCCCTTTTACCTTATGCATAATCTAGGAACATGCACTTTCTTGCCCTCTTATCGAGCCTTACCATCACTCACTTGAATATAACACGGGCAATCAAATATTCATAAGAATAGAATAATCAGCATCATTACCTAACTACACTTATTCGGGAGTTCGACATCTAATCACAATTGATGGGGATCTATTCATCAAGTAGCTCATTGTACTAAGCGCATTTGCTAAGGATCTCCTAGCTTGCCAACATTAGAGAACGTTTTATGGGCCGTCTCTAGTAATGTCCTACTTATTAACTCTTCAACATATTTTGGTACATTGGCACTAGTGTGGTGTTTCACTATGTCTTCCATCATGCAGATTTCATTTAACAGCTTCGAGTAAAACTCCATGCTACTGTCAATCCGCAAATGCTCGATTGTTTTACCAATCTCATTTTCGATTAACACTCTCAATTGTCTGATCCTAACAACAATACCAACTTGTGCCTAAGTACAAATACCTGGGTCGTCATCGAGTAGTCATCTACAATTGTTAGCATAAATATGGTACTCTTTCTCGAAGGAAATCGCCACAACCTACGAACATGCAAGTGAATTAACTCTGTAATCTCCATAGTTTCTTTGACAATCGTACCGAACTGCACTTTTCGCCATTGATCTAAGTCACAACACCTGTATATATTCAGTTTATCAGCAATATAACCACACAATAGATTTTTTTCACTTAGAACCTTTTGGCTTCTTTCACTAATGTGCCCTAAACGAAAATGCCACAATTGAGACTCTTGAACATATGCATCTGACATCTCTGTGGCAAAATTTATCATTGTGTCACCTTGAAGATTATACATGCCACCGTGCTTGATTCCTTTCATTATCACTATGGCACCTCGGACGACCTTCAGAATTTCACTTTCGGAAGTATACCAACATCCAGCTAAATCTAGGGCACTTAAGGAAATCAGGTTCTTATCAACTCTAGAACATGCTTCACTCCAGTTAATGTCTTCACGATACTATCATGCATTTTGATTAACATCACGAACACCCATACTATCGCATTCAACATTGCTCCCCAACTACACTTTACTATTATCCATGTATTGATAATTAGTAAACCAGTTCCAATTTGGTATAGCGTGAAACGGACAACTAGAATCCATAATCCTCATTGACAGACAAGACATAATCAGTACTATCGGAATTACTATAAGCTATTGTACTAATATCACCAGTAGGCTCAACTCTAATTCCCTTACCTTTCTCATTATTAAGCTTAAGTTAATCCCTTCTAAGATGCCCCCTCTTACCATAACTCCAACAGATAGCACCACCAGTCCTAGACTAACTACGTCTATCCATGTTTATACTAATTCTACAAATAAGAGTACTAGTTCTTCCTCTACTTTCACCTATTAAAGCAGTAAATACAGGTTAACCAAATTCTCTCCTATGGATCTCCTTACTAAGAATCAAATCACGAACTGCATCAAATGTTAAACTTGTTAGTCCAGAGGAATTATTAACAGCAGTAACTATAATACTCCAACTATCAGGCAATGAGGATAATAGAATCAAAGCACGTACCTCATCTTTAAAGTCAATTTCAACTGAACTCAATTAACTAATGATTACATTGAGTTCATTGATATGATCAACAACTAACGCACCTTCGCTCATTTTAAAGTTAACAGATGTTATATCAAGCAGACCTTGTTGATCGCATATGGCTTCCCATTCCTGTCTGACAAGGCCTCCATCATCCATGGTGGTTTTCTCTTTTATAATGTTAAACGCGACGTTATGAGCCAACGTTAGCCGAATAACACCCAATGCTTGTCTATCCGTCAATTCCTATTTATCTTGCTTCATCGACTTTGGTTTCTTCCTAGATAAAGGTAAGTCAAGATTCCTTTGGTATCGATAATTATTAATCTGCATCTTCTAGAAATCAAAATTATTCCTATCAAATCTGTCGATTCTCACTTTCCCTTTTTCTATCGCCATCGATTCATTTCGACTCAGTCAAGCC